GTCCATCATTGTCGCTAGTTGTTTTCCTCCAATGCCCTTAAATAGCGCATATATGAAAAGGGTTGCTGCTAAAATCGTTCTCTGCGACAAGCGTGCCCTGAGGTAAGCCCCACCGTGCGCCAGTTGCTCAGTGATTTTGACGGCCGTCCTGCTTACCACTGACTCAGTAACTGATTGGCCACAGCGGACTCATTTGTTGCGAAGCAGATGATCCGGCGAACAGAGGCCGGTCGTGCTATGGCTTCTGAAGCTACTGCAATGGTGTCGGCGGTAGTTGCTATAATATTAAACAATTGGTCGTTTGGTGGAGCATATTTGCAGTTTGCCGACGCTTTTCGAACGCTTTTAGAGACGCTAAATTTCAGCGATTCGTCAACTGACAAACATGCTTTCTTCACATCGTATTAGAATGTCGGCAGCGATGTTGGCGTCTTGATTGCAGTAAAAAAAAAATCCTGCGCATTACGTACGGAACTTTCCACATTATAATCGCACATCGAGGATACACACATAGCCATACACTCATTCAGTGCTTTTGCAGTGCCCGCCAAAGGAAGCTGCCAGCGTAACAGTGCAATAGCTCACAGACACGCTCAAATAAGCCCATACAAAATCATACGTAGATAGAATCTTCTCATACAATCACGATTCTCCGCCTTAATTTTCCGACGCACTTGTTCTTCTCCTTTGGTGTCGTTACTTGTCTCAGTGAATTTTTTTCCACCGTTCATCTGAATCAGATACTTTAGCAAATAGTGAGCATCATCCAGTGTCACAGAAACATCAGCAGCAGACGCGCACTTGCTACACCGCTGCCCTTACGGTCAGTCGTTGACGAAAGCGAAGACGTAAGCATTATAGACATACAACGGCCATTTAAGGTACTTGGCTGGGTGAGAACGAAAAAATGGCGACTTCAATAAAGGAACAGCAGGTTAGAACGGCGAGGAGAGGCTGTTTCTCTTCTTTATTTATCCCGTTCTCCCACTTTATCTATGTATATCTCAATCACTCCTCTCACATTATCAATGATGCGATTGGAACAGTTTTATCCGCCGACGAAAGACGCCAGCGGTTGATTCTATGAACGGAGATCATAAAAGTCTCCGTAAAGTGCTGGCTATAAAATTTACTGACCACTAATGATACGCATGGCCGACCAGCGGTTTGGCTCATCATCGAATCCCCCTGTTGAAACGGCTGGTCCCGTTCGCTGATCTGGTCATCTGGCAGCCATCTATCCGTTCGTTCAACTAGTAGCTGCCGGCTAAGAGCTCTGGAAAAATCTATCGACGACATTATTGTTAACCAAATTGGTAAACTGACGCCAAATGCTCTTGCAAGCCCTGCATGTAAAATACGTTTTGCAGTCCGTTTCCCTTTCGAACGACAATTGCATGAACTGCGAGAGAGAGGCATCAAAAATCGTCGATGCATCAGACAGTCATTATTATCATCAGCGCGAGCTTTACAAAGGAATATTATGATAGTCTTCTTGAGTAACTCCTTCGATAGAGAAGAAAAAAAGGATAATTTTAAATCGACCTCGCAAATTCACCATTATTTGTGTAGGTCTTCTTTTTTCTAATAGGTGATACTACGGCATCAAGTATGCTGAAGAAGCGAGTGTGCATACCCTAGCATATGTCTAATCAATTTATTGTTTCCGTAGACTGTTATCACTTGGGGTAGTAGCAAATCCATCAGACTGCAATTGGCCATTCAGTAGCTTTTTTAAATTGATGACAATTTGTCGGTAAGTGTTTTTTCGGATGACGACATAAGAGAACCGTTATCCTGTGTTGTTAGTCTAAAGAGGATTGTCTTTCCGGAGCGCCTCTCGAACAAATCAATTGTGTTAGATAAGTAATGTGTCTTTTTTTTTTCAATTTTTATACAACGGGGTCTTGAGTTGAAACACGGAGGATAGAACTTCATTCGCATTTATTACAAAATACAAAGCGAACAAATATATATATATATATATAGAGAAATGACAATAAAACGCAAAATTTAGAACCATGTTTTTATAATTAACGCAAAGAGATTCGCTGCAATTTACGACTGTTAGGCTCTAATTAGCAAGAGCTTATTCCTATATAATAGTATGTAACAACAACACAAACCAAAACATTATATAACATAAGCATTACCATATAATCCACCTACTGCATGATTTATGAATGAGTTTCATATTTTGAATCTCGACCTCAATTAAAATATACTCTAGACTTTTGCATCTATGCATATATGTGCTTTTATACTGGATTAAATAACTTTCGGTGCGATGAACCTGTGTGGCGTTTCAATGAAATCAGTGAATCTTCCTTAAATAAGCAACAACAGCCCAAGTGGATTCCATGAGGAAATGCATGTACATGGAACATCTTAGGCATGTTAATGCAGTAGCAAAGCAGCAGTCGCAGTATTAGGTCCGGTGCTACGGAATACCTCCGATTTAGGTTCTTCCGATCACCATACCGCGTTGATGCTAGTTGCTCTCCAGAATGCTGAATATACCCACCACCCCCTATCCGTTCGTATCAGATCTCGGACAGTCGAACCAAATAGTTCAGAATGAACGCGAGCAGAATAACTACACCAGCGGCGTGGCTAGTCTCGCCTGCTTCTCCAGCGTTGCTCTGAGCTGGTTGGATGGCGACTTTGCCCGTGAGAACGTCTGTACTAAACTACCGGCATCACGCATCGTGTAAAGACGGAGTCCGCAGCCGACAAGCCAACAACAGCTTTTCAAGCAAACCTTTCCGCTGACCGCGGGGAGGGAGCTGGCCGCATTTTTTACTTCTCCCGAATTAAATCGCTCTCAGCTCTATAACTTCGACGACGAGGTCGAACAGCAGATCGGACCCGTCACACGCTTTTCCTCGCCCTCGCCACAAAGATCCGACGATCTGACTGATGGAGCAACGTCGTGTCGCTTTAAACGACGCAAGCCTACACACTCCATAACGACAATGCGCAGTACCGGCATCCGAGATCATGAGAATCATCATCATCGCCGTCGCCATCATCATCATCATCGGATAGTAAACAAAAAAAAAAGAGAACCATGTTCCTGGTCACCGCCGACCGCTGCTGGCGTTACATTCACCGCCACTCAACGGTACGTAGAACGTACACGCTGCATCCGACTCTGCCCAGTGCTGAAGTCGGATCGTAGAAAAGAAAGTCCAGTTAGCAGAGCTCCACCACAATCTGTGGCTATAGTGAACCGGGAATTCTCTCGAACGTGGGCCCGAGCAGAAGAGCACGATTAAATGTCCGCGGTGACGGCGGCGTTCTCGTAGTAGCACTCTAAAAATGTAGATAAACACAATTAAAAATTTATTTACTCATAGAATTAAAGGCCTGTTCGTTTATTTAGAATCATAACATGCTGATAGGCGGACGATGGTAGTCAACTCTGCTTCTGGAACATCGAGTGTAAAATGTGTGGTGTTTTATAATGCCTGAAAAATAGCTTGCTTCTTTAATAGTCGTGGCTTTTTGGGGAAGCTTCTTTCCATCATTCGATACAAAAAAAAAGCCCTAGAAAATCACGTATTTCTACATTGTATTACAATGTTACGAATGCTGCAGGGTTTTGATATCGTGTGAAGAAAGCTAACTACGACTATCTAAGCACTGGATGGGAAATATTTAGTTGAATATGACGGGTGCCTATATTATGTTTGTGACAGAGAATGTTACCAAGCGCGCCTTAAACTTCTAGACGCGAATCAGACTCCTGAGTAGAAGACAAGGTATCGGAGCGTTGAACGCATCTTTCATGTGAGCGTGTATAGTGTCTGTGATGGCCGGATAATTCAAGCTAGTGTTCAAGATATGTCTACGGATTACTGTCAAAAATTGTCATCGAACATTCGCCGACATGACGAGAAAGCAACGGAACATACATCCATGTAGATTGTGCAATTAAAGTTTTAAGTTTACTTTTTCATATAAAAGTAAACTAAAAAGTTTCACTAATCATATATCATTCTTTAAAGGCCAAGTACGCTTGTTATACTTAATGATAACTGTTATTATTATTGGTAGTTTGCTTCTTTCTTCTTCTAGCGCTAATAATCGACACACAAACAGTAGCCGTATTACGTTAAGTGGATTGGATAATCTTCGTTTGGCGTGTATTTCCGCTGAACATTATAAAACATTACAGCCGGGATCGTGTCGCGTGTCCTTTATAGGGCGCAAACAAAGGACGCGTACCTTCATTTACAGGTGAATATCATATACCTGACTTCGATAAATCTACAGAGCGAGATAAATAGGACGGCCTGGAAAAGTTTCAGCTGCAGTAGCAACAACAATCATTGCTTTAATGCCATCGTTTTCAGCCGAACCAACGGTATTCGACAAGATAGAGCATAATGCGTATCGTAGTACTTGACCAACTGAAGAAACGAACGGCTATTGGCAATATTGAAGTCACTCTTTTGCGCATCACTTAAGAGGAAAACTCTGCGTTCCCCGTTGGTTGCGTAGCTTTTCGTCGATGGAACCGTTAGGAGTATCTAAGTCAACCACTCAGATGTTAGGACCATGAGTACAGGAAGAAGAGAAACGGATTACTGAAGAGACACCGATCTGTCTGTTTAGTCCTTTGCTATTGACGTGTTTTAATAACAGATTAACGTAAGTTGATCATTTTGAACGGATGGTCGTTCCTGAAGACTCTCGAGGCAGGCAGACACCGAAGGGAGGAGCGAAATAAGCACAATAAAAAAACTAAGTCGATAAACGTTGGTCGCATGGCGGCTCATATCACTTCTTAAACGAAGTCGTGAGTGAAACACGAACGACTTTGCTCATCACCGGTGGTTCTCTGTTTGAAGTATTATTATTACAATAACGTGCGAAGATGAAGTACCTAGAAGGATATGTGCGATTAAGTTGTGTAAATTTCAAAGTTATATCTCTGATATTAACTTGTATTTTTATTTTTTTTTCGGTATTCGTTTTACAGATGCGAACTTGGACAAGTTAGTTTTGCGTCCGTCACCCGCCGAATAGATCATCTCGGCGCATCTACTATAATCTATGTATATCGATGCCGTTCTTCGAAAACACGTCAATGTTCATAATACTGAGACATCAGTCGAGTAAAATGCTCTGCTCGCGTAAGAAGGCATAGACGATCGAAACGGGTAGTAAATATTTGTCGCGCTTCACAACATTAATGGTGGACGCTGATGTATCTCCGAGCCGAGCGCAGAACTCGTGATGAAGCCGCGGAAACAAAATCCTGCCCGGCTTGACTTTGTCGTTAATTTCCTCTGTAGACGCGGTGAGACGCTCCAAATAGAGGCCGGAGCTGAATTAATAGAAAATAGGTGAATACAAGTTGACCCGTGGGAAACTCATCTACCGTTAAGTTTGTTCTATTTAATCACACATTCAGCTTCTATGAAAGCTGGTGGCAACTCGGTCTGTCCTAGGTTGGGGAATATGAGGTCCAGTTTGAGGAACTAGTCGTCCAGCCATTTGGTATGTGCTATAAATTGCAACTTGCGAGGCTTTTTATGTACCACAATCTAACGTTGTTGAATTTGTTTATAAATGGTTTTAGACATTCGACCCATGTGACGATAACGTCGAAAGTGATAATCTTCGTCAATAACCCCAAAATGGACACAAGCCGTGGGGTTCATAGAACAGATTATGGATTTTTTTATTTTTCAACATAGAAATGTCTTTTGTCCGGCGAAAAAAAAGTTGTGCTTCAGTGTTCTTATTAAGTTCTTTTACAGCGAATGCATGGTACATCTACAGATAAGGTAACCAGTAGGTTGCCACTAAGCGCGTCGTTTATTATGTCTATTATTACGATCTTATATTTCCTACCGATGACTTAGCGATATCAATCAAACTAATTATAAATAATCGTACCAGGTAATTATCGTTTGCAAATGACTACTGCCATTGTCTATTCTCGTGCATCGAAATTTTGGCCGATGACTGACTTAACTTGAATGGGTTTGGCTAAACGAGGTAGGATTGACGTTTTACCTACAGTAGAATGGCGCATATCCGGCGAGCACGGAACGAGAACTATATTCATTTATACAGCTGAGCGCATAGGACAACCGCTAGCTTCTCTTAGACATTGGGCAGTGAAACACGGTGTCGCCATACTGGACGTGTATCGGAACGGTTCTGTTTCCTGATAGCAAGCTGTTTGAAAAAAACGTTCATGCTTCATGTGTACCAGTGAAGATTCCTCTGGACTTGGCTGAACCCGAACGACTATATCGTAATGCAGACGACAGAGTGTGTGTTGATGTCTACTGCATTTTGAAGCATGGCGCCTTGTGATTGCCCCTCTCGCCTTTTCCGTACAAAACCTGTCCTAAGGAAATTGTCCATGCACTAAAGGCGCCGCTTGATGAAACTTTGTCAGAGTAACCGACAACGACATAACACAAAATTGCTGAACTAAGCAGGTCAACACGCGAGTCGATCATTTGTAACGCAGTTTGTACCTGACAGCGTCACCGAGTAGAGGCAAACAAGAGGCCATACGTTGGGTAAATATGTGTATGTGTATGTGTATGTGTATGTACGAATTGAATAGGGAGTTCCACTCCAGAAAGCACGCTGCATTGTACTTCATTATAGAAGGAGACAGGTTCTGAGGTTTTTGTGCAATGTGGATCGTACGACGAGATCAGGTTCAAGGATAGGAACGAGGCCGCGTGCGCCATCCATCGCTCGCGTGCACTTAAATGCGTGACAAGAGTCCATTCTGCCTACAGGTATATGGTGAGTACCTCGTTTTCGCTATCTAAAAATTTCGGCGTTAAATCGTGAGGCCTGCACGATCAGCTTCAGTAGTCGATTCGGGAATATTATAGGTTTTGTATGCATATTTCTACTTATTTTTACTCTTGTCCTCTTCTCTTGGGGGAAGCTTTTTAGATCCAGGGCATTATTATGTATCACGTAGTTTATTATTATCGATATTACTAGACAGAGAAACCGTGTCTGACGCGATACATAAAAGGAAATATTAGCGTGTATAGCTTATATTCGACAATTTCGAGCTCGTTTTCTATCTTGGTTATATTTAGCGAGAGATCGTTATTGCTTTGACAAATGTTACAAAGCGCCTGTACACTTAGCAGGTCTACTCGTTAAACCCTAGTCATGACCTTTATATGGTGAATAGTAAAAAATCAATAAAAACGGTTTCGCTATATATACATTCACCTTATCGAAATCATATTTTGTATGAAAAGAAAAATGTTTTTCTATGTATTGTATATATATATATATCTATTCATAGGAGAGATTGGAGTAACTCTAAAAATAGGATAAGTCTTCCTTGCTCCTCTAGCCTCGCCGTTTCACCATTCTGTCAAGTTTGCCTTTTTAATACATAGGTATTGCGACAAACAGGTATATCGACAAGCAACATTACCGATTGCTGGATGATACTAACTAACTACGTAACGATACGGCACTTTTTCGCTCATGCTATTTTCATTTTTCTCCTTTTTTTTTCCAGTTCGAATACTACCATCATTCAAGATAATTATTATTGTATCTAAAGATGAATTGTAGGGCAAATAGCTCGAGATATTTTGTCCATTGCTTCTATGGGTCGACGTTTACCTCCGCGTTAGACGAGCATAGTCAACTGCTGGTATGAGTGTGTAAATATGTTTGTTTACGTAAATCTGTTTGTGTGTTTGTTATTGACTGAAATCGATTTGGCTTTGTCGCTTCAAGCTATTCGCGTCAGACTGCAAAGGTAAACAGCGGCAGTGGGCACAGGCAAACAAAACCGAATATGCAATGCCAAATCCATCTCTTGCCTGCAAGTTTGCCCGATATTGCTGTGGACTTAAACGAAGAACGGCAGCGATAGCAACGGCGGCGGCGGCGACCCAAAGAAATTATGAATGACTTTGCGACGCGGCCAGATCAAGATTAATGACTTGCTTCATTTATCAACCTTATACGGGCGCACCCGAGTAAACCATTCCCCAATCGGTTTCCCGCTTGAGTCAATCTTCCCGAAATGAAATAGCAAAGGGAAGAAGACCCAGAACACGAAGACGGCAATGAGAAATGAAAATTGACGAAAATCGATAACGTAGCAATGACGAAAAAAAAAAAAAAACAACAGCATCAGCAGAGTAATAAGCAGGTAACGAAAAATTGTACAGGTTGATTCACTGGCCTGCAGTGTCTCAGATCGTTTATACCTGTATGCTCTATCGTAGTGGAACGGATGGATGTCGTCATTGTGATGATCGTGTGTCGTATGTGCAGGGGTCGCACGTCCCGTACTCGTTATACTATCGTAACTGATTGGTGAACATATGATCTTTACACCGAATACGCTGTTTTATTATTAAAAAATACGTATAGGGGGACTATACGACGGATTGGACGGAGCATCAGTGAAGTGGTGGCATCTGGTGTGGCCATCGATAGGTGGATTATGGGCCGTATAGCTTCGAAATGAAATAGTATTTTATGTCAATGAAGTTCTGTAATGTTATGAAGACCCATATTCGTAAGCAGTGAATCGGAAAAGGTTATTCATGAGGTTGAGCATCATAAACAGTGAGCACAAAGGACCACTAAACATTTGGCGCTGAGGCGGCCTAGGTTTGAATCCGAACACATATTTCACCAGCAAGAATTAGGAAACTCGTAGAAAAAGCAATAAAAAAAAGTGCGCTCTTTTCGTGCTTAGTGCCTCTTGGTCGCTTATAGTTAGCCCCTGAGACACTCTGAGACAATGCTAAGGCAGCGGTACTAAAGTCCATCTTACGCTGTCGCCAGCAACACGTCATGCGTGAATCGCATATAGAATAAAAGTGTTTACTTTGATTTAATTGTTGATGCAGTTTATAAATTGTTAGATTTATTTCTATAGAGAGAAATAACAAATACGTATAGTACGAGACATAGGCATCAAAAGTCGGCCTTGGTTCACGTGTGATTTCCTATGATTTGAGCCATAGGTAGGCCCTTACAGCTCGTACATTATTCAAATAGACAACACTTGGATAATATACGAATGAATTTGCCTGTTCAATTTTACCCCTGAGCACTCAATACGCCTCAACTTTTACGCATCCTTTACACGTATTTTTTTCTATTACTGCCAAATTGTGCCAAGTCCTAAAACACCAAAACCGGCTTACCTACGAACCCGGTTTCTTAAATCGATGTATGGTATGGTTATCTCATATTCTCGTTTTATAAATTTTAATATTCGTTACGTCGTCACGTACTGATAGATACAAAATCACCAGATCCGTGTGTCTTATAGGCCCCACCAGTACCATTTTATCATACTGACATCTTGCGTCATTCCGAATTGATGCTTAGGAAGTTAGTGGCCTTTCTGAGAATTCAGGCAGGCAGGCAGGCAGGCAGGCAGACAGGCAGGCATCGTCTTTGGATAACCTATAGTCTTTTTGAATTCGACTTGATCATTGATGTGTCGTTCACGTCATCCCGTTCTTAGTCAAACCTACATAAGTGATATTGCTGCTGCTATTGCGGCCCCTGCTATAGCTTCTGTTCAAATTTTCAGCACTGGTTTAGCGAATCGTCAAATGTAGAACGTTGCAGTCGTTGGTCGGCTTACTTTTACAGTTCCGCTAGCACGAGCCCATAGCGATCCCCTATCGTATTCCCGCCATCCTACGAAGTGGCGTCTTTAATGGTGATAGTGATAACCGTTTTTGAGGATTTTTCCTTTTCTTCTATCAGATTATCATCCCGTACTACGATCAAAAGTCTGATGGCTTTCATCGCCACCAACATCACCTTGTTGCCCTTTTCCGATAGGCGACAGGTGGGGTTGGAGTTGCTGTGACACCTCGCCAACCCCATCTCGAAAATATATCCCATTTTTTCGCGCCATTTCGCCGCGTCATCTTTTTGCTTTCTTTTAGTTTTGTCAAGCTGAGCAGAGCGAGACAGGCGAGGATGATGCTGTACCAAAGACTCGGGTGAATTACCAAGGGCTTTCAGGGCCGGCAGCGTGGGCCGTGAACAGTGTCCTTTTGGCTTCATTTTTGTTGTGTCCTGCATATTCAGTACCGTTTCACCTACCCGCGTGACGACTATAGAGCCCACAGAGAGTCAATAGCTTATCTCCAATATACGGCGTGTAACAGCCGCTAGTGAGGATGGCGATCATGTCGAAAACGGTGGAACGTGATCGGGTATATGACGAACTCCGCTTTGCGGTCTACGTTTTACATTGCTTAATTATTGGAAAGGAACGAAGCACACGAAGAAGATAGAAAAAAAAACCGTCGGTAGTCAAAGGGTTATTGTTTTTCTTGCAGCTTCAGTGCTGTTTCCCCGAAGTGAACGCAATGAATTTGCGCTTGGGCATATCGGGAACAACTTTCGAATGGCCGTAAATGTGACCGCGTTGAAGACTACAATCCTGTTAATCACAAAAATTATGATGACGGCTGACTATGCGAAACCGTTGCAAATAACAGCTGTACGGATGATTATCCGACATTGGTTTCAACTAAGAAGAGAGTCGATCAAATAGCGACTAACGCCTTCGTCTTGAGAGCTAGATATGACGTTCACAATGCGAATACGTTTAACTCGTAGAAATCGCGTCACTGTTAAATTAGGAAATGGAATTAGGAAGGAAAAAGGATGAAATTTTCGACATTGCTTTCTTGTGGGTTCCTAATGCTAATGAGCTATGTTTCCCTGTTCCGTAGACGATGGCGCTAACGCTTAGCGCAGAAACGCATTTTAACCAATGAATACTCACTAGTTGCGCCACGAACGGTTTACGTGGCCAAAATTCAAAGGCGTGACTATTTTCTACGCTGTTAAGTACCAGTATACTGATATATGCGAGCGATTGACTCATGGCAAGCCCTCATGTGATGCGCTTGACATTGCCGCTCTTCTTATACATCGTTAAAGCTTTGTCAGAATTCGGTATAAAGCTCCAGAGGGCACCGCCAGAAATGTGGGTCGCAAACGTCAAATTGTCAACATTGATACCGCATCAGGGCACAGAACGAACGCTCGGCAAGGATCCTGGCCTTTCTTTACCATCGTTATAGAACATAAATTTACGAGAAAACGAATAAGCATGATTTTTAAGATATTTCAAAAAATTGAACTGATTCAGAGATAAGCGACCACATAAAAATATCGATGTAGACTTCGGTGTTTTTCATACATCTGTTAAATGCTTCCGCCTGTCTTACATCAGGCTAAAAGATAACGGCAAAACACAGAATATGCAGTCTCATATCGCGTCAGGTCGAATGAGTAGTTCGTCGGGAAGTTGTTCAGAAACTTAATCAGTATTTATCTGAAAATAACAGTAATAACGTGTTAGTTATAGCAGTATATTAAGTGTGAATTGATAAATTTGAGTGATCCACTCGAAGCTAAGAAGATCGATGGGATAAATCCTTACAATGAATGACAGATCCTATCAGGGGTCGATCAATTTCGAAAAGATCGCCGAAATAAGATAGAAACTTCTCATTGGCGCACTTTGATCTTTTGGTTGATTTTAGGACAACTTTAGCTTCGTTTTTTGATTCTCTACAAATGAGAAGATGCACCCACAGTCTGTAGATTCGTATGTAAATATGTTGGATAGACGTAGGAACATTTGTAATCTGTGTCGCTGTTCAATGGTTATTAACTTATATGGATGTATTTTGCATGCCAGAAGCGCAAATGCGAAGCTCAACAAGGTAGAATTTCCTTTAACCTTGTAGGATCAGTCCAGTTGGGAT